ATATATATAAGTATAAATATACATATATACACATATTCAAATTCATACATACATACATATTTATTTACATATCATATAAATATACATGAAAATATACAAATTTCGCTTGCCAAACACGTTTACGACAAGTCGACCAATTTTTATATACTCGTCCGCTTACACACGTGGTTTTATAAATTTCGTTTATTGAAAGTAGCTGCTTACTATTTCACTTGTGTGTACAACTGAGTCACTTCACTCGGTGTACTCCATTTGCGTGTTTATGTATTCTGATTGGCATGTGAAATTCCGGGATTCTGATTGACCAAAATACCATCTCAAAAAAATGCATGCGATCCTTAAACGCCAAAGGGAGCGGTGTCTGGTTAAAACACTCTCCTGTAGTTCCTGCGGTGCAGCCATCGAACCCTAAAACCCTATACTATCTACATAAAGATCTCGTTCAGCACCTCTACACCAAACTGCTTGCGATTGGCATCCGCATTTGGGATTTCCAAGACCTCTTTCTTGGCCTTTTCCAGCAGCTCTTTGGCCCCCTTCGCCAATTTGTAGAACTCTTTAGGTCCCTTGGCTGCAGCGTACTCCAACGCAATGCCGAGCGAAGCCAATTGGATGAGACTCGCTTGTGCTTTGACCACAGTGGAGCCTAAAGCAAAACGAGCACACGTGTGAGTTAAAGATGTGCAAACCCTACACACAATCAGCTCTCAGCCTACCACCTCGGGTACCCGTCAAGCTAGATCAAGCATTCTCCTCTATATATATATTTACAAACACACAGACACAGACACAGACACAGACACACACATATATATATATACACATACACATGCATATGCGCCCACAAGAATCCGGGCCACAGAAATAAGTGATAACTACACACCTGGGGTTGTGCGTTCATCATCGAAGGCGTCCTTGACCAGATTAGCCTGTTGTGTGCCATGGGTATTGATGAAGTGTTAGCTGATGGAGTGCACTGTGCATGAGATGTGTGTGCGGGGTCACAGCTGATTAAGGTGTGTGGTTCTGTAAATGGATTGTTTACGTTATTCATACATTCATGTGTTGTTTACGTTATTCATACATTCATATGTATTGTTTATGTTATTCATACATTCATATGTATGTGCAGAACGTTCCGTGGCACAACCACTCCCAAATATAAACACCCATGGCACACACAGCAGCGCTTAACGAACACGACACATATGCACGCATGCATGACAGCACACATGTACGCTCATATACATGTATATATGCATATACATACACATACACATACACATACACATCCAATACAACACAGACAGAGACAGATACAGATACACATATTTCGCGTGTGTTGCTGTCGTACGCCACACCGTCCCACACCTTCGCCACAGCGCCTATGAGTCCGTTGAGCGTGTCTGTGTCCATCGCATTGTCGTCCTCTGCCGTGTCTGTCGCCGTGTCCCGTGCGCGAGCGTGTGCTGCCCTTGTACGTGTGTGTGCGTGTGTTTGCGCATCTGCATCCGCTTGGCCTGAGTGTGTCTGTGCATGCGTACCTACCCCAGCACCCTCCGCCTCTGCCTCTATGCGTACGTGTGTGTCTACGTGTGTGTCTGTGTGTGTGTCTGTGTGTGTGTGTGTGTCTGCATCTGCTTGGAATAGCTCTGTGTACACAACGTACACTCTGAGCTGTTCGTTGCACTGCACATCGTATGCGTTGATGACCACTGCTAAGTCACTGTCGCCATCAAAGTGCCACGTGTGCGCTGTCTCTGCGTGTTTCTTGTGATGTTTCTTGTGGTGGTGTTTGTGGTGGTCTGTTGTGTTTTAGAGATGTGGTTAGAAAGTATAGTGTGAGTTGTGATGTGGTTAGAAAGTATAGTGTGTGAGTTGTGATGCGGTTAGAAAGTATAGTGTGTGAGTTGTGGTGTGGCTAAAAAGTATAGTGTGTGAGTTGTGATGTGGTTAGAAAGTATAGTGTGTGAGTTGTGGTGAGGTTAGAAAGTATAGCGTGTGAGTTGTGATGTGGTTAGAAAGTATAGCGTGTGAGTTGTGCTGTGATTAGAAAGTATAGTGTGTGAGTTGTGATGTGGTTAGAAAGTATAGTGTGCGAGTTGTGATGTGGTGGACTGAGTACAGTGTGTGTTTAGGGTGAGGTTAGGATGTCTGTTGGTGAGACGGTGTCGGGTGTATGTGCGAGAGGTTTAGGCATGGTATGTATTGTGAAGATAAGGTTTAGGGCTTACGGTTGGGTTATAGGGATTAGGGTTTAAACCCCTAACACTACATACATCCACAGAAGCATAACTGCCACACAACTCTACCCACTCCAATACACACGTAACCATTAGACACACAGCTCAAGCGCACAGAGACAGCAGACGCGCATACACGTGTTGTCATGGCAACGCGACGGGAGTGGGAGCAACCCTGATACCTACCACCCAATACACGAAAGTGTACACACATGTGCATTTGTTGACAATTGGGACATAGAAGACCCCTTTGGCAGACCCCTTTGACCTACACAGAACTATTTAACACTGGACTAAACACAGCGTACACGTTCACACGATGGTAGAAAATCCGAGAGACGGCTTCATAACACACTCTCATACCCATCAGCAAAGTAAACACACATACATACATACACACACACACACACATATATATATATATATATATATATATACACACACACACATATATATATATATATATACTACTATATATATACACATACACCCGAACGCACACACACACATATATATATATATATATATATATACATACACTTGTTGGTCATCTCAACGACCTTTCCATTGACGTAGACGTGTATGGGTGGGGCTGATCCCACGAGGCGCAGTTGGATGTCACGTGTGTCCAACATGTTTGCGTACTTGCCTTCTGATTGTACTGTGAAGGTGAGCTATATGGGGATGAGGGGAGAGGGTTAGTGTTTGTGTTTGTGATAGTCTTTGCATGAGTTGTGTGCATTTAATAGATGGCTGTATGAGTACGCTGCGTGTGGTTGAGGTGATTTGTGATTGAACTAGCTATGTTGCATGTACTATAACACTTAGTGAGTTGTATATTATTGTAGTCTGAGTGTATGTTGTGGTTGTATAATGCTACCTACTGAGTTGTAGTTACTTGTGTACTATATTACTTAGTGAGTTGTATATTATTGTAGTCTGAGTGTATGTTGTGGCTGTATAATGCTACCTACTGAGTTGTGGTTACTTATGTACTATAACTCCTACTGATTTGTATATTATTGTAGCCTGAGTGTATGTTGTGGCTGTATAATGCTACCTACTGAGTTGTGGTTACTTGTGTACTATAACACTTAGTGAGTTGTATAATATAATAGCCTGAGTGTATGTTGTGGTTGTATAGGGCTTTAGGGTTACTTGTGTCCGATATCACTTACTGATTTGTAGAAGAAAGTGGTGCGCGTGTATTCTGCGGTAGTCCATCGATAGTCTCCGTTGAGATGGTCCATGGTTAGGCCGTCATCTTCATACACCTGTAATTGATGAGTTATTCCGCTTTAGTTGGCCAATAGCTATGGATCATACCCATTCAGATATATCTTAAACCTTAAACAAAAACTTTTGTAAGAACAGAAATAGCTATGGATCATACCCATTCAGATATACCCTAAACCTTAAACAAAAACTTTTGTAAGAACAGATAGATACTTACATCGCACATACAAGCAGAGCACACACACACACACACACACACACATATATATATATATATATATATAATATTTATGTATATATATATTTATTGTATATATATTGTATATATATATATATATGTATATATATGTAATATATATATATGTATATATATATATATTTACAAATATATATATATATATATATACGAAGGCAACATAAGTCAAGTACACACATACACGAGGACAGATCTTACACACCATTACACCAACTATACACACATATACTTCGAATACAAACACACAACTACCATTCACAGATAACATACTTTGCTTTTGCCGTGTGTTCCGCCGGGGTAGACAGAAACCACCAGAGTGCTGTACTCTCTCTGCGCCAGTCCTTCCGTATCGCCTGTGACGACGGGAATGCGCGGGATGATGGCACCTGCACGCACATACACCCCCCACTCTTCCAACGTAAGCTTCTGCTTAAGCAATTTACCTACCATTTAACATTCAGGAGAAACAAGTGGTGGTTTAGGGCTTAGGGTTTTTTCTAAGGTAAACTTCTGCTTAAGCCGTTTGCTTACCATTTAACATGCAGGAGAACATGTAGTGGTTGTTTAAGGTTTAAGGTTTAGTTCTAAGGCAAGGTTCTGCTTGAGCAGTTTATCTACCATTTAACATTCAGGAGAAAGAGGTAGTGGTGCTTTAAGGTTTAGGGTTTTATGGTTTACTTCGAAGGCAAGCTTGTGCTCAAGCAGTTTACCTACCATCCAGCATTCAGGTGAAACAGGTGCTGTTGTTATTAGCTACACGGCCGAAAACGAGACAATCAATCACAAACAAATGCGACATAATGGACTAATAATACTCGTCATGACATTCACACACACACACACTCGCCTCTACACCCAGTGCCGCAGAAAAAACTCGCACGCAGACGCATACCATGTGTCACACACAAGAGTAATCACCTACCAACTAATATCACACACACACAAAGTAGCACACACACACACAGGGACACCTTCGAACCTATTAACTAACATCATACATACACACAAAGTAGCAAACACACACACAGACCCCTTCCACCCACCCTCGCGTTCCCCATCACTCACCCATTGGCCCGCCATCGCGTAACATGCCGTCGTTGACTGAGAACCACAGCCCAGGAGGCAACCACGTAACCACCTCACTCGTGTCTGAGGCACCCGCCTTAACCAGCACAGGACTGATCATCATGTCACTCCCAAACATGTACTGTGGGAAGTTGCCCATGTAGTCAGCGGCGTATGCGTGCTCGTGGTGAGGGAAGTGGTAGTACAGTGGTTGGATTATGGACACGCCCGACTCGAAGGAGAGCCGTGCCTGGGAGAGGAGGAGGGGGAGGGGGATATGTTTAGTATGTATATGGGTATATGAAATATATCGTATACATACATATATACATATATACATACTTACATACAAGCATATAAATATATATATACATGATATTGCATGCTACGTATACATTGTATTATATGATAATGTATATACATATATATATATATATATATATATTGCCGGTGCAAAGTATTGTTAAGGCATAGCAGTTAAGCATGCAGCGATATACACACAAGGATCACTCTGTACGATGCTACTGAAGTGACACTCCATATAAATCCCATGATAGGCTTAATCTTATGAAACCCACAAGCACCGACATCCTTAGTAACTCCAAGTCAAATAGGAGTATCTGTAGGTAGTACTCTCCGTATAGGGTTTACAGCTTGGCTAAACTCTAAACCCTAAACCAAAAAAGCGACCATACCTGAGTGAAACCCCTTGGCCCTAAACCCTAAAACAATACATCCTAAACCTCAGTGTATGTAGGAATAGATTGATCCATCCCATACCTGAGTGTACATATGAATACAATAAACCATCTCATACCTGAGCGTATATATAAATTAAATAAACCATCCCATACCTGAGTGTACATATAAATAGAATAAACCATCCCATAAATGATGTCTAATTTTGACCTGAGTGTATATACAAATTAAATAAACCATCTTTTACCTAAGTGTATATATAAATTAAATAAACCATCCCATACCTGAGTGTACATATAAATAGAATAAACCATCCCATAAATGATGTCTAATTTTGACCTGAGTGTATATACAAATTAAATAAACCATCTTTTACCTAATTGTATATATAAATAGAATAAACCATCCCATACCTGAGTGTATATATAAGGAATTAGCCGTGCTCGATCAATCATTGCCCTGCGATTGGCGTCAAAGTACCTATCCGGTACCTTCCACGGAGACACCACAGCACACTGTGGATAGCCCGAGTCCTTCTTCTCTGAGGGAAAGGGATCAGCACATGCTCCTGCACTCATTCCTCGCTCATGCAGACGAAGAATACCTACCACACACCACGTGGGTAGACGGATGAGCGGAGGAGATGATGCGATGAGGGGGGGGTGCGTTGTATGATTTGATATGGGAGTATGGGAGATGTTGGTTGAGCCGGTACAATGTATGCAGCTAATGAGAGGTTGTATGTTTATATGTCTGAATGTATGCAAATACAATGTATGTCGTCAAGGACAAGTTCAATGCATGTATATATGAATAAAGTTTT